GTTCCTCTGGCTCCTCCTAGTTCTGGTACAGTTCTGTACCAACAGAACAGTGGCAGAATGTTGAAAAACCAGGAAAAGGTGATTATGTGCCACAGTATCTACCTGACTACTCCAGGTAGCGTATCCAGGTTTNNTGACAGGTCAGTGCTGGAGAACCATCATGTCAGTGCCGCCTACAGGCTGATGGCAGAAGAGGACATGAACATCCTTGTGAACTTGAATAAGGACGACTGGAGGTGGGCACACAGATCACACGTCACTGATGAATTGATACATATACTATCACATATCACAGATAATATTTATTGTGTGTATTGATTATTGGCAGGGAGCTAAGGGCTCTGGTGATAGAAATGGTGATGTCCACCGACATGTCCTGTCACTTCCAGCAGATCAAGACCATGAGGAATGCCCTAACACAGACACACAGGTCCGTGCACCAACCATGACCTCTGTCCTCTAATCTTTAGCCAACATATATGTACCTGTGTTTGTTTTAGCTACATCAGCAGAACACAATAGTGCTGGTTATAATCTGTTAGTAATTAATAAATTAATAGGGGTGCCACCAAGGGAGGGTTGTGGCCCAGCTGATTCAATTCAATTCAATGATTATTTATAGTGCCAATCATCACAGAAGTATCTCACCCAGGCCACTTTCAAATAGAGCCACGTCCCAGTACTGACTGACGTGATGGCATGCAAAATCGAGGAAGGACCATGACGACTGCCCTGGCGCAGTTAACGAGCGGACAAGAGCCCATGATTACCATAATTATACCGTACGGTAATCACCATTGAGCACAATCCGCTTTTCCATAGGTATAAACTGAATAATTGTTGTCGTTGATAACGATATACCAACTAATAATTGGGAATGTTTTCTATAACAACATATGTACAGCCATATACCATAGATCTTCAATGAATAGCCCAGGCTTTTATTTGCTTCAATCACTGAACTCAACCTGCCTTCCAACCTTGGAATGGGCATCTACAGTATATGGGACAGGAGTTTAATTCCTTTTGCACAAAACTCTTCTCAGCAAATGAAATCACCAATTCATCAGACCTTTCAAGGTAGATAATTATATTTCTTATAAAATTCAGTATTACATTCTTTAACAGCTTAATAGGGACTTGAACAGTACATTGTGGTTAGTTTCTTTGATTAGGACAAGCAGATAATCAGTCTGCTGAACCAGACTGCTCTGCGCATCCCTGAAGGGCTTTCACAGCTGCCCCTCTCTCTTTGTCAGCCCTGCTGGAGTGGAGGTGTGGAGGCGGCAGCTGTCACACCTCTCAGCTCATGCTTGGATGAGATTTTGGGGAAGAAGTTGTGTTCAGCTTGTTGACAAGCTAGTTTTGCTTGTGTTGCTGCAGCAGCAGCAGCTGTCTGGGGAAATGTACTCTGCACACTATGATTAAAATACAAACTTAAAAACACCACACTGCATGTAGTCTTTCAAATTATATCCCTTTCTCTGCAGTAGTGAATTCACTAAACCGAGATTCTTAATTTTAAATGAGAAGATATTAACCTTTTTACCCTGCCAAACGTACGGAAAGTGTTGCTTTTCTGACTTTACCTAGTTACAACTTATTACTGAATGATTTTTGAAAGACTTTTCCATTAAATTATTTTGTTCTCTCTCTCCAGTATAGACAAAGTGAAGGTGTTGTCTCTGATGCTTCATGCTGCAGACATCAGTCATCCAGCCAAAGCCTGGCCACTGCATTACCGCTGGACTCACAGTCTGATGGAGGAGTTCTTTAGACAGGTACACACACAGCAACAATGCTCACACACACAAGGGGGCTGCAGAGTACTTCCAGTCTGTTGTCTCAAAGCAGTCTCTGAGCCTAGCACTGGTCTCCTCAGACCACTCCTTCACAGGCCTCTTCTCAGGTGGTAGTTTATTCACCACAGGGGTGTAGTCTGTGACCAGATGGACATGGTTGTGACCAAGCGGGGGGAAGGGGGGATGAGGTGTATGCATCCTTGATGTTTGCATACAACAAGTCCAAAGTTTTGTTTTCCCTAATGTGGCATTTCACGTACCGGGTGAAGGTGGGGAGAGCAGGAGGACAGTTTGAAGCATGGGTTGAAGTCACCGGATGATGAGGGAGGGAGGGATTGGGGGTGCTGGTTTTGAAGGTGGGAGACAATAGTGTGGATCTAGTCTGTAGCTGCAGTAGCAACAGCCTAGGGAGGGATGTACACAGTTACAGCAATAACATGTGAAAACTCCCTTGGAAGGTAGTACGTCCGCATGCTAACCGCTAACAGCTCCAAGTCTCTGGTGCAGAGTTGCTCCTTAACACTGATGTGTGCCGGGTGGCACCATCTTTCATTCACAAACACAGCGATTCCTCCTCCCTTCTTCTTACCGCTCTCTGTTGCTTTCCTGTCCGCACATACAACTTGAAATCCGTCCAGGGTCAGGAGAAAGTTCACTCAGCCATGTCTCTGTGTAGCACATGAGGCTGCATTCCCGGTACTCCCTCTGCAGCCGGGTTAGCCATAACACTATAAAAAAACACTAAAAAGAGGGAAGAAAGTTTAGAGCTGCCACTCATGAGGCACAAACATCCAACAACATTATGGCCCTTTTGGGGATATTACATAGACTTAGATTGATTTCCTGGACACTTACCCTAATCCTAGCCCTAACCACTAACCCTAACTGTAACCACAGACCCAAAAATCTACTTTTTCTAATTGGAGAAACAGCATCCCCAGTTGGACAAGTAGTTCCCATTTAACTAGTCTTTAGTCTGAAATGTCACCAACCGGACAAAATTGACACACATCACCAACACAGCGTCCAAGATGATCGGACTACCCACAACCAATCTCACAGAACTAAACAACAGGGCCATCTCACGCATTGCAACCACAATAACGAACCTGGACATAGACACCCCCCCCAACTCAACCCAAATATCTCACCCCACTGCTTCTGGACGGACCTCCCCTCCACCGGTACCGAACATTTTGAGCGCAAACAGGTTTCGCATTTGGGAAAAAAAGCCTGGCATTCCTTGCAGCTTAATTTGCTTGCTTCTAAACAAAGCGGGGCATTGCGAGTGCGAAGGTCCACCCTGTCATGTCCTCATTATTCTGATTCGGTTTGTTTTTTGTGGATTTGTCTGATGTGGATGGGCGTCTTTCTTTTTTGACTGTATTGGGTGTTTGTCTGCAGTGCCAGTGATGTTGGAGATTGAATTTCCCCCTTGGGGGACAATCACTTGAATCCTCCCTGAATCTTTGAAATGTTGTCCCTTCAAGGAGCTCAAGTTGCAGAACTTTATATAACACACACAAATTTTTTGGGAAAAAAACTGTCAGCCATCAATATGGTTTTCCTCTGGAACAGACTCCTAAATCACTAAATACTAACTTCACTTATCTACCTTTATAACCAAAATTACAAACAAAAGTGGTGAAGAAAAAAAATTTAACAAGCACACATTCACAAAGAAGTATGGACTTTGGTTATGGATTTCATATACTTTATTGTATTAAAACTCTTAAAAACCAAAAAATCGATCGGGTGATTCTGGGACAAAAACTTCTTGGAAATAAGAGTCTCCAAACACCCAACCCGTCTTTTCTTGTTTGAATTTAACAGTTTTGGAAAGTGGATGTAAAATACCACTCAAGAGTTGATTAGATATTTTAAAAAAAACCAACCACTTTATGATGCCTTGGTGACTGGTGTTCTTTTTCCAAGGGGAGATAAAGAGTGGGTGGAAACTTCGGTCTTCCTTTTTCTCCTCTCTGTGGGACCGCAAAAAAGCCACCATGATTGCCCACAACTTCACAGATAGGTAAGGAACACCATCCAACCAATAATACCTAAGGAGCACAGGCAGGTGAGGAGTTACCATTAACCAGTAATAGTAAACAACCGAGGAACTATTACAGAACTTCATGGACACGGGAGGGCTGTTCGTGCATATTAAAACCTGTTCAACATGGACATCTGCTGGGTGGTTTTGAAAAACACAACACATTCTCGATTTTCCCAATCTGATTATTAAACTATAAAAATAAGTAAAAAAAGTATTTTTATCAATTCACCACTGTCTTCTCTCCTTCCCTCTGACTGGTTTGCAGGTTTTCACATAGACTTTTATCGTGGAAAGCCGGAATTTCCAGTGGTCTCTTGATTCGATACAACAGAAAAACGTGACTTGGGTCCTATCTGATAGAAGAAAGAACAGGGAAGCAGGAGAGGACTGGAAACAGGGAGATCCCAGGTTACCACTACCACTTATTTTGGGGGAAGTGGTTACAACATCTTAAATTTAAAAGCTGCAAGCAGCATTGGGCGGGCCCGCCACATCACCCCACGCCCAAACGCCCCTCATCGTCGGAAGCTGGAGGGAGACCGCTCTTAGCTTTCATAAGGCGAGACTCTTTCCTGCGAACCGTGGAAATTCAGCGCCACGCCCAACCTTTCTAAACACCCAATGGTGTCTAGATTTGCAGTGATCGAATTTGAAATCAATCCCGATTAAATGTTGTTAGGAGGGGGAGTTATTTAAAAAATTTGAAGCCCTGACACTGCCGGAGAATGGCATCAGCAGTTTTGACATTCGATTCAAGCTGGGCCAAACTTTATCGCACCCAACGGACCACGCCGCTGTCCCAACGTACAGTCCCACACAATTCGCAACAAACCTTTCTTGAATCAGCAATCATTCTTTGAACTGTACTGACCAATTATGAGAGCAGATTCGACAATTCCCTTAGGGGAAGTTCCTTCAAATACGAAAGAAAATTCACCGAAAGTGACCATTGGAATTCTAAATGGCCAAACTTTTTGATGGAAAAGCCAACGGACATGCCCTTCGAACGTTACAGGTCACAAATAGCACACTTTTTCAATCAGCAATGTCTTTTTGCACTGTAACTGACGAATTTTGAAAGTTAGATCTCGATAATTTCCCTAGGAGGGAGGTTTGTTAAAATTACAGGGCGAAAAATTCACAGAAAATGGACCATGGAATTCAAATGGGCACCGACTTCCTGTTATGGTTTGGGTTATGGGGTCCAAGAGGGCTTTTTTGTTATGTTCCTAACTTCGCATCAATTCCTGCCAATTTCGAAGCCCATTTTGACACACCCACAGGCAACATCCCACTATGAACAATGTAAAAATGCGTATTATCAAAATTTGACGGCCACGCCCACAAGACACAACCACTAGGTCCGGTGGCCTTTCTCACTTATTACTGAACATTATTCACATGATGGTGTCCAGGTGGGACTTGGAGAATCGGATAATGGTACGCAGAAGTTTATGACAACTCCCCTTCATGGCGAAAATCGCTGGGAAATTTCCACAGCATGCACTCAATAAGGAGTTACTCATGTGGACAAAACACATTCGGAACCCATTTCAAGGACTCTTTCCTTTATTTGAAAGAAACCAGCTTTTCATGGCGTCGTTCTTTCATCTCTCTTCAGTCGAAACAAAATTCTCTTCCAAGTTCTATACGAAAACTTGGGACTGCTTAGCAGCATCTTACGGCTAACCTCTTTAGCAAACCTCTTTAGCAGCCATCTTCGGTTCCTTGCACTTCTCACACACCGTTTGGCAACACGACACCTGCGTTAAAACCACGGCCATCAGCTCATGTTCAGAGCCAACAGGTTCGTTCCTCATTAGGATGCTGATTTGTCCAGTCACACACTGGGGTTGGACACCAGGTACTACGCGGTTGCAAGCCTGGCAAGCATGGGATCTCCGATTTCTCATGATCGTCGACAGGGCTCCATACTGCTTTGCTAAGTTATGATTCTGATTACCCAAACTCCCTCGATACATTTCTTTATACAAAAAATCCAATCCCTTACAACATGTCTCACAATCTTGCAACATTCCCCCTTCAGCTTCGTGGTTTGGAACTGATTTAAGATTATGGGCTAAGCTTCATGTTTTCGGAGGCTGTAGGCTACAGATTCCATTGTTAAGGGTTCCCATGGTAGAAAAGCGATAAAAAAGATTTCAGCAGTTTTTAATTAGTTCACTTCACCAAGCAAGTTTATATAGTTTTAGTCTTGTATTTATGGATGGTGAAAAAAGGGCCCCTGGTTCCCATTCAACTCTGCTCTGTTTCTTAGTCTAACAGGGAACAGGTGGTCAGTACCGTGGAGTCAGCTGCACAAAACACAGTAGTTGGTCGCCATTGCGAAAACAGGTTCGTTGATGGGACAGGATGGACTTTTCCTGGACCAGCTTATTGACCCTGCCGGCTCTTGAGGCTCCACCTATCCGGCGTTCATGGCAAGCAACAAGGGGACAGATGGAAAGAGCTTCTGTGCACGGTAAAACTCCACACCACACACACCACACACCAGAGGTATTAACTTCAAATTTCATCGTATTTGTAGCCCTCTGGTATGTCATTTTGCTGGTATTAACCATTTTACCTGAAATGCAGAAGCTGGAAAAGGACTCACCCCCTGAGTTTGGACTTTACGTTCCAGTTTACAACAAGTGGGGTTGTAAAAACAAAGCTGTAGCCATTGTTAATTTCAATTCTATTTTATTTGTATAGCGCCAATTTCATAACAGAAAGTTATCTCAGGCCACTTTTCCAAATTACGAGCAGGTCTAAGACCGAACTCCTTATAAACCATTTACAGGACCCAACCGTACCACCATGAGGCAAGGGCACTTTGGGCCGACGGGGGCAAGGAAAAACTGCCTTTTAACGGGGCAAAAACCTCAGGGACAGACCCTTCGGCTCTAGTGGGGCTGGGTCAAATCTGCCTTGACCAAGTTGGGGAGAAAGGAGATAGGAGAGAGAGGAGAGGAGAAAGAGAGAGGAAGAGGGAAAGGACAGAGAGACCAGAGAGGAAACAGATGTACAGAAAGACAAACACGATGTACAGGCATTGGTTAGCCATCATCTAGCCAATACCAGGTTATATACAATGCATTATGCAGTATTTTGCCCAATGCTGTAGCAACATGTCCACAGACTGTACTGTGTGTACGCCTAATATAATGAGACACGAAAGGCAGAAGTGCTATAAAAAATTTTATCACTACAGCTTTCACTACTTTTAATGTGTGTATCAGCTATCTTGGATTTTGAGGTCAGAGTTGGTGAGGTTCTTCTGACTTTCCAACTCGGAAATTTTGACTTCCCAGCACCATTAGTTAGGTATATTGTCTGTTCCCTTCAGACTTCGAAAATGCCATCAGCGGATGTAAATTACTTCTGTTTTTACAAGTGTGTAGAATTTAGTGGCAGTTAGCAGTTAAATTGCCAGATTGCAACTAACTGAACACTGTGTGCATCTGTATTTAACGATCTGGTAGTGTGTAGGGTTAACTATGGTGGCCGTGAAACCCACAAAAAATGCAAAAGGCCCTATCTACTGCAAGTGTTTTGTTTCTCCCTCCTGGGCTACATTGAAGGTGACCCTTGACATTTATAGATCAAAACAGCTCATTCTAAGGTAACAAAAACACAACGATTCCTATATTTAGGTAATTATACACCAATGAAAACATAGCTATGAATATTATATTTAATTCCTGCCAATAGATCCTCCTACAATGGACAATGAACTAAACTTTATTATCTGTATTTCCTGGTTCAGACATTAGGTTTTGGCACTGTTCCATCACACAGAAAAAAAATCTATGTAGAGAACATTGCTTTTCACCTCTGAGAGTCATTCGTAACAGTAACAGGACTATTACAAGTGAAACATACATTCGGCTGATTTTTGACTCCCACAAAGCTATATTTGTGTACAGCGCAATTTTCTACAGAGCCCAAGAGGTGTTATGAGGAAGAGAAAAGAAATTCATGCTCTTCTTAAAGCATAACTTATAGGGTTGTCACTTTTTCCAAAAAGAATACCACTGTCTGGTGGCAATGAGAAAGGCAGAGTCATTAGCATGGCTTCAGACTGTTTATCTCGTTAGTTGTTTCTGTAACTTTAAATTCTTTGCACAGAACATAACTTGTTCCTTCATATAGATGTGGTAGAAACGCAATTCTGTATGAAATTTCCTGTAACTTCACACTGCAGGCAAAAGAGGCCCAAATCTGACTTTTTTGCCCATATGTGACTCATATCTGATTTTGAGTCTGAACAGGACAAATCAGATTTTTCAAATCAGATCCAGGCCACTTTTATATATGGTCCTAAATCCAATCTGATGTTTTTCAAAGCGACCTCAGTCTGAACGATCATGTCGCATTTCATCCGACTTTTACGTCATTGAAGTGAGACGGGTGTCACAATTCTGCTCTGGAGGAGGCGGGACGCGGCAATATCATAATCATCATCATAATTTTGTCGGCTCTGATTGCAACTGCAAAATTGATACACACGCTGACATTTGTAGCATCCATATTAACTTCTGTAAACACAGTGTGCTGCGTGTGACGTCACGTCTTCTTCTGCGCATGCGGGTCACTTCAGGGCCGTAGACTGGTCAGATCAGATCTCAGCAAAAAATCGTAATTGAGCATTAAGACCTGCAGTGTGAACGTACCCTTAAACTTTCCTGTGTGTCTACTGTGCACAGAGCTGGCCAATAAGGAGAAGGAGGAAAAAGAGGAAGTGGAGTCTAATGTCAACTCAGACATACAACCGCATGTCTCACCCAGTCACAGTGTCCCTGATGGACACACCTCTGACCAGTCACAGAAGTCAGACTGCTCCCCTCCTGATGAAACACATGACAACAATTCTCCTGACCGCATGCCTACAGATCACCTGACCTGGAATGGTACAAACATGACATCACATGCAAACTTTTCCTAAACTTTGACTCTCAATGTTCTCACTTGATGCTGTGGTAACTGTTGCAGGGGCAGGGACAGGGGAGGAGGAGAAGGAGGAGGACAATGATGAAGTGCTAGAAAATGTCTGATGATTCTCCAAGGCGAGCCCGCCACTGTATCTGACTGTGGCAGATCACCATGGCAACAGATGGTGCGGTGCAGTGACAACAAGAGTTCAGACTCTTCTGTTTAAACACAGCAGCTGACAGTGTGGTTCAGTGGCCCCTAAATGGCCACCAGACCTTATGTTTACAACTGACCATGAAATTATCACATTCAGAGTGACAAGATTCATCAAATAACAGCTTCTTAGCAGCTTCATGGTCCATTTACAGTGGTAAAAGTGTTTGTGATTTATTAGAAACTCAAAGGAACAGTGTCAGTGAAAATGGTGGAAATATCAGTTTAAATCAAAATAAAGACAGACAAGATAAAACCAAAGAGCGTATAGTGGCTGAAAATGTCTTCATCATGGCTAAGGCAGGCTTATTATTAGGGTTATCTGAAGGAATGAGACATGGAGCTGTTAAGAAACAGTTGTGGAGGCTTTGTGAATGAAGCTGAGCAGAGTGACAGGTGTGTTGTTACACGTCTTATAATATGTTAGAAATGTGTAGAGATATTTGTGCTCTGTTCTCTGTTCTGCATGTTGTGCTTCTGGCTACAACCCAATATGTGATGTCAGAGCTGTCAAATAATAGTCAATAGATCCTTTAGGATATGGCATGGTTTTAAAGCTGCAGTAGGTAACCTTTAAAATAGTAACTTTTTGTCATATTTACCGAAACTTCACTATATCCTGACAGTAGTACATGAGAGAGATAATCTGTGAAACAATCAGG